TTGATATCAAATGATATTACACATTAAATTTAAAATAATTTATTTAAAATAAAAAATTTATGAATGAATTTATCTTTATTTTTTATTTAAAAATAAATCTGTTCCTATTGCCTAACTTTACAGGTTAATTTGGGATTATAGCCCTACCAACAGTGTTGGTAACGCACCTCCTTGCTCATATCCAAAACCAGTTCCTTACTTTTGTTACAGAAAAGTAATGCTATCAATCTCGATCGAGTTTGTATGCATGAGTGGTATATTTAATTATAAAAATTTATATATATATATAAATTAATTTAAGGCTTGACACTCAATAACACTGTAATAGTTGGGGCGGATCAGGAGAAAAAATGGAAAAGGAAAAAAAACTCTATAATGGTTAAACAAATTAATCTTTTAAAAAATGTTTTATAATTTAAATTGTATCAAATTATAATATACTGAACTCAAGTAATTAATATATCATATCACTTGATAATCTTGAATTTGCTACCATGGGTAAAAGAGGAATTCTCGTTGGGCAGGCTTGACTTAGTTGTTAGAAACCTAAAAACCTATGTACTGATAAAACGAAAGCTGGTTAGTACATGTGCTAGGGTGGCTCTGGCATACACACTTTGATGCTCAAATAAGTAATATTCCAGTGAAGGGGGAAGGAGAGTAAGAGTGAAAATGGAGGAAAATTATGCAGAAGAGAAGGAGAAAAATCACCTTTGAGTTAAGAAAGAAGACCTCTTTTATAATATGTCTTTTCTAGTGAAAACTTGCTGAAGAAGTATGTTTGACCTGCCATGTTGATCAGAAACTTACAAGAAAAGTACAATCACAGCTATGATAACTAATAAAGAGGTGTTATGTGACTATGAGGATAAGGAATGTCCTCTAACAATTTTTTACATTGCTTGACGTGTTTGCCATTTGTATGTTGGCTCTATTATACCTAGTGCTTTGTCTTAAGTCAAAGATGATAGGTTAGAGATTATAGCTATACCTAAGTCAAGTTAGTTAGGTATAATTCCATAGGTAAGTTTTCCAGCCATACTTCAGTTAGGGTTGTGTATCTCCACAGGTCTCACATGAAGTTTCCAACTAAGTCCCAAAAGCCATAGAAGACTTAGTTAATCAAATTTCTTTAAGAAAACTCCTCAAGTCAAACCTAGAGTGTCCCTAGAAATAGGAAGCTAATCCCTAAGACCATATAGACTAATAAAGGTTTATCACATGTAGGGAGTATTTTACTTGATATCACCATTAAATACTAAAGAAAGAGTTTATATATGGACACATACACTTTGTTCGCAATCAATCTATTATAAAGACATATGAATTAATTAATTTTTATAAAAAA